TGTCTGTCTCTCTCTCTCCTTTGTGTGTGTGTGTGTTTGTGTGTGTGCATGTGTGTTAATTTCAGAAGTTGGGACAATATGAATGCAGTCATTACTGAAACTCTCACACCAGAATGTTTTACAATTTCCTGATACTGCATCTTTAGAACTTTCTGCAAATTTTCCCGGTACCTCCATGGGACCAAGAGTCTTCCCTTAGCAGTTCAACTTGGCAGAGTTAACAGCTGATTGCTTCTCCTATAAATTTGTGGAGGGATGTGAGTCTTGTAAGTTTCAGCTAATTCAGACAAGCTATGAAGGTTGACTTCCTCAGATTCATGAAGCCCACCTCTTCTACTTTAGCCAAATATCTTAATTCACATGAATTTGTCATACAAGACACCTGGACTGTTAAGATATATGGAATGCATTCATGTCACTAGAGTGTGCTTGTACATATTAAGGGTGTCCAGGTCAACTATCCCACAGTCTCTTTAAGCATTTCATCTGGTCAGGCCCTGGAACTACTCCTGAGTTTCTGGTGATTCAGCTCTTGGGAACCTTCTCTGCTTCTCTAAGTGGCTAAAACAGTTACAGTCTACTTATTTCTGTTGCTTCCTCTCTTCTCTCTCCAGAATATTTCCTTTCTCTCACAGTCATGCTTGAAAGCACGGATCTCATTTTCTTTGTTTTTTTCTTCCAGGCCCAGGACATTGACTTTCAACAGGATGAAGACTACAACCTGCTCGCTTCTCATCATCATCTCACTTCTCCAGCTGATGATCCCAGTGAACACTGAGGAGACCTTAGACTCTATCATGAAGAAGCTCAAGGAAGCTCTCAGGGATGGAGGTATGAAATGACTAGGAGAAACAATAGCTTAATTCTTGTTCCTGCCGTCTGTTGATAAACCAAAAATTCCTTGTCCTTCACACTAAGATCTCAACCTCTGTTCAGTCCACTTCATCCCTGCATCCCTGACTAGGGCTCTACTCAGTAGACTACCCTTTTGTACTCTTAGATAAGAACTCAATGTTCTTGATGATGTTGAAGAAAAGGAGCATAGGTCATATATTTTATGAACACATCATGAAACAGGTGTAATATTAAGCTTTTAGTAAATTTGTGTAATTTTCATAACTACATTATGAAGTAAGTATTGTTTACTTCTATTATTTTCTTTTCACAAATGAAGGAACTAAATCTTAAAAGTTAGTGAGAGGACTACTTATGGAAACAGTGATACACCAAAGATATAAGAGGAATTTTAAAAAATTCATATGCAAAGATAATGGGCAATATCACTTATTTGTCTTACTCAGGTAACCGTCCCTCTACTGTGACCCATACATTCTCCTGCACTAGTGTGAAGGCTTTAGGCAACCTTGCCTCCTGTCCTGCTGGTGAGTAATTCCTCAAGGAGAATTTGTGAATAGGGTGTCCGTGTGTTCACCCCATCAATTTCCTAATACCATCTTCTCCTAACTCAGGTTTCTATTTCCATGGTGATGAGGTGTAGTTCCAGGACTTTAGTCATCACTTCCAGGTTTTCAGTCCTTAAGGATGCTATTTGTTCATCTTGTCACATCTTCCTCGTGCCCACATATGACAGCCTTCCTGGACCTAAACTGTGTGGTCATTGATACGGCTCTCTTAGTTTCCCATTCTATTCCCTTGTAGTGGTAGAAGAGGAGCCAGCACAGATGTGAATTTTCCATCAATTGAAAAACAGTGAAACTACTAGTCTTTTCATTTATATGAGTATTTTCTTTAAGAAAACTCTCAAAACTGATTTAGTTTTATGATCCACAAAATGTAGCTCTATGCATGAGCTTTCTAGGGAGAACAATTAGGGACTCTGCATTTCTTTTGGTCCAAGGTCTCTCATGTCTTTATTTCACACAACCATGCAGGGATGATTGCTACTGGATGTTCTTGTGGCTTTGCTTGTGGATCATGGAATGTCCAGAATGAAAATGTTTGCCACTGCCTGTGTCCAATTATTGACTGGACTCTTGCCCGCTGCTGCCAACTGTCCTGAGACTGAGGAGGCTGAGAATCTAGTTTTGAAATGATGATTTTAAAGCAACTATGATCTCTCCCAGAAAGCCTGACTGATTGTCCCTGTGCTGAATTCCTATTACACAGTATTCCTGCTTCTTAAATAATAAAGACAGATTTGCACTAATCTATTTTATGTCTCAATGTTATTACTACTGTCTTGTGGTGTCTAATGCCAGAAAACATATTCAGGATCTCAATGATTTCATCTCACTGTATCCGAGATGGATGGTCAGGAAAGATACAGAAAGAATGGGAACAATGGACCTCCACCATCCAATTTTCCTACTCCCCAATTTTATTAAAAAAAACTATAAGTATATTGGATGGAATGAAATACAGAGAAGTGGCGTAGCATGCTTTTATGAGAACCAACATCTACAACAGTGAGATTTGGAAGACTGCAAAGTATGGGCAGATGCAGAAAATTTAAAATAACTATGTTCTAACTCGTCAGCATGTATGAAATCTCCTTCCAATTCAAGTGCCTGTGATGGCTTTAAGGTGACTTTTTTCCCAATCACATGTCTCACCTATATCAAAAGAACATCACAGTCTTCACCTGTCACTGAGAATTACAATATCGCCTCTCACTGGGGCATTAAAAACTTACAGAATTCCAAAGCAAAAAATAAATAAAATATTTATGATAATGTTAAGAAAGTAAACAAGTGATTGGGCATTAAGTATCCTGTAATTTGGGGGGCTTCCAATTTTGAGTCTTCACAGGAGTATAAAATTCATGTGTCAACTTTAGACTACCAAAATAATTTTAAGTAATTAATAGTGGTATGGTTATTGGTAATTTAAACCAAATTAAAATAAATTGAGTATAACTACACTAAAAATCTTCTCTTTCCATCTTAATTATGGCAGTAGGTTCTTCAAACCTAAAACTCATGAAGAATCTACTTTTTATATCTAAAACTCACATCATCTAGTCAGACATCCCAGTGTATGCTAGTAATCCCAGTGTTGAAATGGCATAGACAGGCAGATTCCTGGGACTTACTGCCTAGACAGAGTAACTGAATTGACAAGTGTCAGTCAAAGTGAGAGACCAAGGTTGACAGAACCTGAGAACAATGTCACAGCTGACTTCTGGCCTGATTATATATGTACACACATGCACATAAACACACACACACACACACACACACACACTCAAAGAGACACATACAGACACATATACACAGAGATAGAGACAGACAGTGAGAGAGAGAGAGAGAGAGAGAGAGAGAGAGAGAGAGAGAGAGAGAGAGAGAGAAATGGGGATTAAGTGCCAGAACATAAATGTGGAATGAGAATTTTCCTCCAGGGTAGGTTAAGTTCTTGAGGTGGAGCTCCCGATAGAACAGTTTCCCTTGCATGAGATAAGGACACATGAGGTACTTTAAAGTAATTTATGTTTTATATGGTGATATTAATAATAGTAGGAGACCTTAGGGATAAACAATAAAGGAACAGTTAGAGGTGAATAATGATGTCTTTGTTTATCAAGTTGACATGGGGCGATTGTCCTGATTGGTATTTTTGTCAACTTGACACAAGGTAGAGTTAAATTGAGGAGGAGCTGTGGCTCTCCCTTTGAATGGGGATACCTTACTGCTTAAATGATAACTAATTTAATTTATTTAAACACTGTGCAGGCCAAGCTCTCAGACTAAATTTGCAGTGAGATTAGACTTTTTTTTACTTGGTTCCCAGCATTTTTTTTTTACATTTATTTTGCTCCAGGGTCTGCTCTGTTCCCAATTTCTTGTATTGTACTCCTGGTCAAGTGACATGCTTGGAACTTGACCTGAAATAAAGATAGATAGATGATAGATAGATAGATAGATAGATAGATAGATAGATAGATAGATAGATAGATAAAAAATCTTTCCAAAAGCAAGCATTGCAGTTACCTTCCAGTTTTTCTATCTTTTGAACATGTTGCTCAGTCCTCCAATCCTAGGACTAGACTTCCAAGCCATACTTGACAAAAAAGTCAGGCTCCATGCCACCAAACAGTAACATTCCTCAAAATGATCTGGGTCCTTTCTAGGTTTGTTTAAATATAACCTATTAATAATTGAATGAGACCTGAGAATGTGAACACAATTTGTACCTGCCAGGAATAGGGAGTTGAGACATTATGGAGCCTTGTGCCAAACTTGTTAACAGGGAATGCTGGGATCACATCCCAGATGTCTCAGTTGGCATCAGTCAGCTTCAATAAGAAATGTTTGTTCAAGCTGTCCCTTAATTCTGTACTTGAAATTCTAAACTCCAGAGAGGAAGTACAGCAAAGAAAAGCAGAAGTTTTGAGAGTAGAGCTAGCTCCTGGATGATAATCTATGGGCACAACACCCAGGTTTGCACAAGTGACAGTAGATAATGGCCATTCTGTTCAATAGCACTGCCTTAAAGCTTCATGTCCCACTCTTTACTGGGGTTTGGCGTGGAAAAGGCAGAATAATAATGATGGAGTACGACTGCAGAGGGCTATGTCAATGTGTGTAACTCCCATGATAAGCATGTTGAGAGATGTACTATGAAAACATTAGCAATTCAGAATTCTTTTTCTTAGCTCCCACAGGTTCCTGTTTAGTTTTATAATAAAAATCAATTTCCAAGCAGGAGAGAACGGAGTCAACATCCATCACCATACACCTGTTTTTGAAACAACTTTGTTTAGGAGAATAAAACCTTCGAAAGGGAGCATAAGTAGCCTTTGTGGTCTCAGGCAGTCTTGTGCCTAAAAATGAAACAACGTTTCAAGAGTCACCACTGGGCCGTTCAGCTGGTCAGAGTCAACAGCTGATTACTTCTCCTATAACTTTGGGGGAGGTGTGAATTGTGTAAGTTTCAGCTTTTCCAAACAAGTGAAGAGGGTTGACTTCCTCAGTCTCATGAACCTCACCTCTTCTTCTTTAGACCAGTGTCTTAATTCACAGGAAATTGCTATATAGGACATCCGGGCTGTCAAAATGTACTCAACGTGTTTACACCATTGAGGTGTGCTTGTATATATTAAGGGTGCCCAGGTCAGCTATGCCACAGTATATGAAAGCATCTCATCTGGTCAGGCCCTGGAACCACTCCTGAGCTTCTGGTGAGTCAGTCAGCTCTTGGGAACCTTCTCCGCTTCTCTAAATGGCTGAAGCAGTTACGGTCTGGTCACTCCTGTTGCCTGCTCCCTTCTCTCTCCAGAATATTTCCTTTCCCTCACAGCCATGCCAGAGCTCAGTGATCTCATCTTCTTTGCCTTTTTCTTCTAGTCCCAGGACAGTGACTTTCAACAGGATGAAGACTACAACTTGCTCCCTTCTCATCATCATCTCCCTTCTCCAGCTGATGATCCCAGTGAATACTGAGACCTTAGATTCTCTCCTGGAGAAGAAGATCAAGGAACTGGGCTGTGGAGGTATGAGATGAGTAGGAGAAACCATGGCCTAATCCTTGCTCATGCTGACAGTTGATAAAACCTAAAATCCCTTGTACCCCACTCTAAGATCTCAAGCCCTGTTCAGTCCACTTCATGCCTGCCTTCCTGACCAGGGATTTCGTCAGTACTCTACCCTTTTGAATCCTTAGGTAAGAGAGCAATGTTCATGATGATGATGAAGAAAATGGGTGTAGGTCCTGTATTTTTTGAACACATTATGAAACAGGTATAATATTAAACTTTTAGTTAGTTTGTTTAATTTTCATAGCCACTTTAGGAGGTAAGAACACTTTACTTTCTACTGCTTTCTCTTCACAAATGAAGGAACTAAATCTTAAAAGTTAGTGAGTGGATTACTTATGGAAACAGTGACACCCCCAAGATAGAAGAGGACTTATGATGGAATGTGAGAAAGATCATGGGCAATATCACTTTTTTCCTCTTACTCAGGTGAGTGTACCTCCACTGTGACGAGGACTCTCTCCTGCACTAGTGTGACAGCTAGAAGCAGACTAGCCTCCTGTCCTGCTGGTGAGTATCTCCTTGAGGACAATTTGTGAATAAGGTATCCCTGTGTCCAAGCCATCAATTCCCTAATACTGCCTTCTCCTAACTCAGCTTTCTGTTTCCATGGAGCTGAGGCATAGTACCAGGTGCCTAGACATCCCTTCCTAGTTGTTCGTTACCTTGAGGATGCTGCTGAAGGACTCTAGGGTTCTGCTCTTCCTGTAACCTCTTTGTTTGTGCCCACACATGCCCGCCCTTCTTGTCCCTTGATTGTCCAGTCATGGATATGGCCTTCCTTTATTTTCTAATCTATCCCATATATTGGTGAGCAGGGGGCCAGAACAGGGGTGAAATTGCCATCAATTGAAAGACAGTGAAATCCACCTTCCAAGTCCTTCAATTTAAGTCATTTTTGCATTTCGTTTGCTTGAAGAGAATTCTGAAGTTTGAAGAGCTTTATGTCCTGCAAAACCTAGATCTACCTATGCACCTCCTAAGAAGAAAGGACAGTTAGGGACCTTCCATTTCTTGTAGTCTAAAGGCTTTTATGTCTCACATGACTATGCAGGGATGGCTGTCACTGGCTGTGCTTGCGGCTATGGCTGTGGATCATGGGATATCCAGAATGGAAATACTTGCCACTGTCAGTGTTCAGTCATAGACTGGACCACCGCCCGCTGCTGCCAACTGGCCTGAGAAGGAAGAGGCCGAGAACCCAGTTTTGAAATGACGACTATAACGAAACTGCAATCTCAACTTGGAAACCTGGCTCATGTCCGCTTAATGAATTCATATTACCCAGTAATCCTGCTTCTTAAAAAATAAAGACAAATTTTCACCTGCCTATCTTATGTCTTTTATGTTATTACTTCTAACTTGGGAAATCTCTCGCTAGAAAACATTTTCAGTACCTCACATTATATCTCAGTATGGCATGTGAGATTTGTGGTTAAGGAAGGATGGGAAAGGGACTGATACTCCACTTCTACTCCCTCATTATTTAACAGAAAGTATTGAGTACATTGTTTGGCATGAAATATAGTAAATCAAATACCATGCACTTGATGGAGCTCACCAGCTGGAACAGTGAACTCTAACCCATGTGCAGGAGAACTTTGCAAGATGCAGGCAGGCAAGAGGAAATGGAAAATATTTTCTAACCTTTTAGTACACACATGTACTCTTTCTTACTCAAGTACCCAAGATGGCATTCATCAAGGTGACTTCCTTCCCTGTTGCTTTCTTTTGAATAACAACATAAAGACACATCTCTCACATGCCACTGCCACTGAGTCTTACTATACATTTTCCTGGGTGTAAAAACTATAGAATTCCAAACAAAAAATATGTTAAGCAAGTAAGTAACCCAAAGACTTGGAAGTGACTGTGTTTTAAGTTGGTGGACTTGAATTTTTGGTCTTCATGGTCCTGAATAAAACTATAATTCAGTTACAACTTTGGATTACCAAGAATGATTTTTCTTTTCATTTATTATTCTCTCATATATTACATCCGGACCACAGTTTCCCCTACCTCCTCTCCTCCCAGCCCCCCTACTTCCTTTCTCCCCCAGATCTACTTCTCTGTTTCACTCAGAAAAGGGCAGGCCTCCTAGGGATATCAACCAAACAGTGTAACAAACTACAATATTAAAATTGGATGAGGCAACCCAGTAGGAGTAAAAGGATCCCAAATGCACACAAAAGAGCCAGAGACAGCCCTGGCTCTCACTGTTAGGGGGCCCATGAGAACACTAAACTGTACAACTAAAACATATATACAAAGGGTGCAGTCAGACCCATGCAGGCACCCAGACTGTTGGTTCAGTCTTGTGAGACCTTATGATCCCTTCTTAGTGGATTCTGTGGGTTTTCTTGTGATGTCCTTGACTTCTCTAGCTCCTTCCTCCCCTTCTACAAGATTAGCCAAGCTCCACCTAATGTTTAGTGTGAGTCTCTGCATCTGCTCCTATCTGTTGATAGATGAAGCCCCTCTGACAACAATTATGCTAAGCTCTGGTCTATGAGTGTAGCAGGGTATCATTAGTAATTATTTCATTTCCTTTTTTTTTTCCTGGCTGTGATTGGTTCTGTCCTAGGTCTCTGGGCTATCCACTATGGTTCCTGGCCCTCCATGCATGTCAGGCATGGGATCCCTCTTGTGGCATGGGTCTCAAATTGAAACAGTCATTGGTTGGTCACTCCTACAATTTCTGCAATGCTTCTACCCCAGCACATCTTACAGGCAGGAATAATTGCAGGTAGAAGGTTGTGCCTCACTTGGTGTCCCAATCTCTCCACTGGACGCCTTGCCTGGTTACACAAGGTGGTCTGTTCAGACTCTGTATCCCTCATTACTAGGAGGCTTCACTAGGGTCACCCTCATAGATTCCTGGGAGTCTTCATTACACTAGGTTTCTACCTTGCCTCTCCAAAGTCCCCCAATTTCAGTCATCTCCCCTAGTCTCTCTCATCCCCTCAACCACACTCCTCCTGTTCCTATACCCACATGTTCCCCAATCCACCAGTGAAATTTATTCTGTTTCCCCTTCTCAGGGAGAACCATGTCTCCCCTCTTGAGCCCTCCTTGTTACTTAGCCTCCCTGGTTCTGTGGATTTGTAGCATGGTTATCCTTTACAGCTAGCATCCACTTATAAGTGAGTACATACCATGTTTGTTCTTCTGGGTCAGATGGAACTTAGAATGATCTTTTTCTAGTTCCATCCATTAGCCTGCAACTTTCATGATTTTTTTAAGAGCTGTGTAATACTCAACTGTGCAAATATACATTTTCTTTATTTATTCCTTGTTGAGGGACAACAAAATTGTTTCCAGGTTCTGGCTTTTATGAATAAAGCTTCTTTAAACATAGTTGAGCAAGTGTCCTGCGGTAGGATGGAATGCCCTTTGGGTATATGGTTATGAGTGGTATAGCTGGGTCATGAGGTAGATCCATTCCAAATTTTCTGAGAAACTGCCATATTGATTTCCAAAGTGGCTGTATAAGTTTGCACTCCCACTAGAAATGGAGGAGTATTCCCCGTGCCTCTACATCTCATCAGCATGAACTGTCACTTATGTGTTTTTGACCTTAACCATTTGGTCAGGTATAAGTTGGATTCATTTTGATTTTCATTTCCCTGATAGCTAAGGATGTTGAACATTTTTGTTGTCATTTTTTCAGCACATGGTTTTTCTTTGTAGCCCTGGCTGTCCTGGTACTCACTCTATAGACTAGGCTGGCCTTGAACTCACAGATCCACCTGCCTTTGCCTCCCAAGTGCAGGGATTAAAAGCATGTGCTACCACCTCCTTTAAGTGTTTCTTTGCCATGTGAGATTCCTTTGTTGAGAATTCTCTGTTTAGATGTGTATCCCACTTTTAATTAGATTATTTGGTTTGTTGATGTCTAGTTTCTTGAATTTTTTATGGGAAAAGATTCTTACCAACTTCAAAAATGATTTTAAATAATAAATATTGAGAATCCAAGAGGAATTTAAATATATTCACCATCACTACAATAAGAATATTCTCTTCCTGTGTTTATTGACTAATGACAATGTATTTCTCAAAGCTAATAACCATAAAAAATAGAAATTCAATTAGATGCTGTTATATATCTGTGAATATATAAATTACTTATATCCTCCATTTAAAGATACATTCATAGGTATACTGTATTGCTGAAGCCTGTGCAGCTAAAGACGAAACTTGGAGTTTCTGGAAGAGAAGAGCAATGACCAAGGGCAGATAGATACATAGACACCCTGGTACAGATAGTATAAAGACACCTTTTACTGAGAAAAGAGAACTTTCTTTAACAGTTTGGTATGTTTTAATGCAGAGCAGGGTTACTGAGAGTGTCAGCCTTTATCTTAGCAGTCATAAGTGTTCAGAGCTACCTCCAGAACATACTGCCCCCAAAGGCACACCTAAAGGCTATCAGATCACCCTTCAATTTTCCACAGAGATGCATGCATGTGTGAAAGCCAAGCGGGCAATTATCTGATCACAGGTTGCCCTTGATTTTAAGTTTGTCCTTTATTATTCTCTCCATAGCAACAGTCTATTTGTTAATTATTTATCAAAATGTTTTTAAAAACTTCCATTCACTGCCATACTGTTAATCATTGCAATCATAGTTCAATGTTCTTATTTATAGCTACTCAATTGAGTGTTTTAAAATATAAAATGGACCATGCATCATCTTGTCTCAATTATTTTAACTCTAGTGCAGTTGTTCTCAACCTGTGGGTCATGACCCCTCTGGGAGTCCCATATCAGATATCCTGCATATCGGATTCATATCAGTAGCAAAATTACAGTTATGAATTAGCAACGAAATAATTGTATGGCTGGGGTCACCACAAATATGAACAACTATATTAAAGGTTAGCAATATTGGGAAGGTTGAAAACCACTGCTCTAGTGATGTTATATGAAAAATTATGTCCTACTTATACGAAGAAGGCTAACAAAATTCTGAATTCTGTGGCCTGTGAATATACTTCTGAATTCATTTCTGACCCTTGCTGACTTCACTCTGGTCATGTCTGCATTCCTATACATTACACTCATCCTTCTACTTTCTACTCAGCATGAACAAATTAATTAGTGTACAAGTCCAATCTGAGACCAGGTCAGCTTCTTCTCTTATTTCTGTGCCTCTTCTTCTTCCCCAGTCTTGACCATAGGGCAGCAGATATTGTTTTAACAGATGTTTGGGTTCCACGGTATCAACAAGAATCCTATCTGTTTATAGACAGTACCTCTGAGAAAGAAAATATAGAAGATGAAGATGGAGGCCAGAGGTCAGCAATAGTAAAAGTGGAAGTCAGACTTTGTAGGTCGGCTTAACATAACTGATGACTGTATGGCCAATTTCTTATCTTGTGTGTTAACAAAAGTCTGATTTCTTTCAGGGTTGTAGGGTATCCTGCCTAGGAGAATAAATATGTATTAGACACAGTAATGGAACTCACACCTTTCTTGGCCAAATATTCTATTTCTTAACCATCTCTGGATAAGGTGAAGTTACACAGACTAGAGGGTCACCTAAGTCAGACCATAAGACAAATCTGCTTCAGCTTTCTGAGAGTATGCTTCTAAACTTAAAACAAGCACACAACAACAAAAACAAAAACAAATCCAGGTTTAAGCCTATGTCTACTTTTTAGAGCAGGGACAAATATGGTCAAAATATATAATATATTTGAATGAAAAGCCCATAACAAAATTCATCACTATATGCAATAAATATATGTCAGTTTAAAAAGTGAAGAAAGAAAACCAGGCTTAAAATTGTCCAGGACCCTTGTTTCTTGGACTGATCATGTAAGATGATGTCTCATGCTATGACGGTCCTCCAGTTTGTAAGTGGGACGTGTACTGTTGTTACTCCCCATAGAGAGAATGAGTTGAGAGCAATGTCATGCTAGGCAAGCAGATGACAACCCATAATCTTTCATCATCTCATATGTTTACTGCTTTTCCTTGTTGAATCAGTAACTAAAGGGCTCATAATGAGAGATGTTCTCAAACTTGGCAGCTTCTACCGAGTGGAGATGGATAGAAGAAAATTGAGAGATGCAAAGAAAAGGGCAGGAAGATAGCCCTACTCCCACCGACACACACACACACACACACACACACACACACACACACACACACACACACACACACACACACAAGCAGAGAACCAGAGCAAAGGTCTCTGGCTAGAAACTGTCTCTTGCACTTTTTGAAAACTCCATCCTCTCCAGCTGTCTTAGATCACAGGTGCTGCCAGCGTGTTTGTTTGTTGGGAGAGGGGAGAGTGGGGAGAGGCTGAACTTGTGACAGCCCAC